CTGCGGGTTCTGTTTTTGGGGGTACAGCTTTGGGAAGTCCAGCCATCATTCCGGATGGAATTCTAAATCGTCATTACATCTGCTATTATTTATCTTAACTTTGGACTATTCTGAATGCCCTTGAATTTGATCTAAGTTTTGTTTTTCAGGATTTATCTCATCCAAACGAATTCATCCGTGGGTCGACGCTGCGCTTCTTGTGTAAGCTGAAGGAGCCTGAGTTGCTTGAGCCTCTCATGCCAACCATCCGCACGTGCCTCGAGCACCGACACTCTTACGTCAGGCGCAACGCCGTCCTCGCTATCTTCACCATCTACAAGTGAGCGCCATGTCTGCAGTGTAGCGGCATCTTCTGTTGTTCTGTGTTGCATTGTAACGGATTATATCTCTTCTGTTGGCGTTCTGTGTTGCATTGTAACGGATTATATCTCTTCTGTTGACGTTCTGTGTTGCAATGTAACGGATTATATCTCTTCTGTTGACGTTCTGTGTTGCAATGTAACGGATTATATCTCTTCTGTTGACGTTCTGTGTTGCAATGTAACGGATTATATCTCTTCTGTTGACGTTCTGTGTTGCAATGTAACGGATTATATCTCTTCTGTTGACGTTCTGNACCATCCTACATAATATTCATTTCATTTCAGTTGGCCACGCAAATGCACAAAAGAAAATTCTTTTCAAAGTCCTGAAGAAAATAGTATTCGAGGGGATACATTGTTGTTCCCGTATTTATCTGGGTGCGTGGCTGTAATAGAGAAAGGTTCGGTTATTGAATAAATACGTCTGGAAACGTGCAACAAATTATTGATTATTGTATTGTCATCGAGAGCTGAGCTTCCCTAAAAGTTTCAGAGCGCTAGCTAGCGGGAAAGTTGGTGAAATATCGATTGCAAGATTTGATCATCACAAACAGACAGACACGAAAGCGAGCTAAGAAAAACGTATTAAAAACAGACTAGACGAAGCTATGCAGGAGCATATGTTCAGTCTTAAAATGCCTAGCAAATTTCGGACCAGGCAATAAGTCCAGCAGCTATCTCAATCAATCGTCAGCTATGTTAAGATCGGGTTCCAAAAGCCGGATCCCTTGTGAATCAAGTCACGAAAAGTTCAAGAATCGGCAACAGACCATGGGCCTATTTCTTCAACACCGACACTTCTATTCTATTCTATGAAGCGTTCTATTCGCGATATAATTAATTATAGAAAATCATCCATTCTCTGTTTCAATACTAACAAGTTTTGTCCATAATTTCATGCAATTTTGATCAATTGTGTTTCACACAATTCCTTTCGCGAAATAATTAATCATAAAAATCATCAATTCTCTGTTTCAATACCAACAAGTTTTGTCCATAATTTCATGCAATTTTGATCAATTGTGTTTCACACATATTCGCCTTATGAGCACTCCTCATTTGAACGCAGATTCAATGTTTGTAAACAGTGAAAGCTGTTTACTCACATCGCTAATCGCCCTGAACCTCTGAGATGAACCGTGCTGCATTGTTTACAAGAGAATGTATCATTAATCTCTTCTTGGCAAAGCGTCTTGGGGCATCTTCTGGACTTTTAAATTAGGATCAACTGCCGAGAAATTTTTGTGGCAGGTTTTATATGTACATGGTGTACCGTACCATAGTTTTTGCCAGTACGTTAATTTGCTCGACAGGTATTTACTATTATCAGAACTGGCTCGGCTCCGTCACGTCACGTTTAACATAACATAACATATTGATCTCGGCGCTGAAGTGTAGGGCTGTGGCTGTAGGCCTGATGTGGCCTGTCGCCGATTCTTTTCCTTTTCGAGCCTTGTTCACAGAAGATCTAATATCGTTTCATTTGACCAGATCTTTTCATGACTGACATCTAAGGTCTAATACTTCAGAAAAAGAATGAATTACAGAGAAGCAGTCGGATATGTTGTTGGGAACAGGGCTGTTATGGTCTTCAACGAAGTGCTTGTGGATACTGCTGCTACTATAACGGTGCTGTTTACTTCTTCGTTCCAAAGTACAAGTGGTGTATCCGAGATATGAGGCATTACAGCCATCAATAGGGCATACGAAACGATACACAACACGAGTCATTGTGGAACTGGTTTTCCGGGGTCTTGTAAAGAATGCAGATGAAAGTTTAATAGATCTGTAGAATCCAGTTACCGAGACTGATTTGTGATCATCTGTGGACTTGACATGATCTTTTTAATATTTCGCAGTAATTTCTGGTCTTGCTTGAAAGTCGAAAGGTTGGTAAATTCTACAAAATAATTTTTTTCTGATTTATTCATGTCGTCGCTACTAGTTCATTGATACTCTGCGATGGTGTCATTGACGGTTCGTTCCACTATGGCTTGGGGATAGTTACAGTTAGCAAAAACTTGTTTAATTCTCTGAATTTCCGAATGAAACGATGGTCAGTCGGATGAATATTTCAATGCCCTATTGACAAGGGTTTTCACGACCGACTTTTTATAGTTTAGAGGTGAACAGGATTGAAAACTGGAGTAGATACCCTTGTCAGTAGGTTTGATGTAGACTGCTGTGGATAGGTTTCCATTGTCTTGAATACTGAAATTGATATCCAAGATATGAAATTGGTTGTTGGACGGTGCTTCGTGGGTAAATTTGAGAACAGAGTTGCGGTGCAGGGGTATTTTGAACCAATTCAGATGAGTCTTGTTTTCAAGGATGCCTATTATATCATCCACATAACGTCTGTAAAATAGCGGGTTGGAGGCTGTATTTTCATTCAGTAATTTAGTTTACAAATTGGACATATAAAAGTCTGCAAAGGTTGGGCCGAGTGGGGATCCCATGCTTACTCCATCAAGTTGCGTGTAGGTTTGATTATTGAATTCAAACGGAGTTTTGGTCGTGCAGATGTGTAGCAATTCACGCAAGGTAGCAGCCGGTAGATCCGGACATGGCAGTTCAGGATGGTCGTAACAACGTTCCATGATAATATCGATAGTTGGCCCAACGGGAACATTCGTGAACAGGCTCTCCACATCCAGGGAAACCAATTGATTGCCCGGACGTAGGACTAGAGTTTCTAGAAGTAACTGATCAGCATTTTTTAGGATGAATGAATCGTTGATGAAAGGCCGATTAAGCTTATTTATTATCCGAGATATTTCATGCGCGACTGTGCCGGACATGCTTATTACTGGTCGTAATGGTGGATCTTCTACATTTTTATGAATTTTTGGCAGCCCGTAGAGATGTCCGTTGTTGAAATCATCAGTCCGCTTGCTTTTCCTGTACCACGATGCGTGATTTTGCTTCAGGTTATTGGCAATGTTGTTAATCTCATCTTTAACTTTTTGCGTTTGGTTAGTACTACATTAACGAAATTTGGTAGGATCGCTCAAAAGCTCTGATAATTTTTGCATATAGACTGCTCTGTCTAATATTACAACACCTCCACCCTTGTCGGGCCTCTGGATGGTAATCTGGTCGTTGGTCTTGAGATCTTGTAATGTTTTTTTCTCATCATCAGACAGTGGGTCTTTGGTTCTGTCCGGATTGCGGCGTATGCCAAAATGCTTCAATTTCGTTTTTAGGCGATCAACGTTGTTTATGGTGATTTTATTTTGTTGCTTGGATTCCAGAATTCGCATAAAAAGTTTTTCCATTTGATATCTGGCGAGTGATGGTATTACTTTTCTTCCTTAAGCAAAAGTTGAGTCCTCTATTAAGTAAAGTTTCTTCGCTCGTGCTCAATGCATACTTGGAAATATTATGTATGGAGCTTTGGCTGGCAGTGAGGAAAACTTCATTGCCATACAACTGGCGTAATTTGCGGCTGTGATGGAACAAAATGTCTGACTCATGTTGGGCTAAGATTCTTTGCAACAACTTGACGCAGGAGTAGAAATACAGAGCAGATACCCTCTGCTTCAGAACCAGAGTATGGCAATGATTGGCGAGGCGTGTTAAACTAACACGATTGCAATGTCTCTCTCGAGCAAAGGAATATTGGTTGAAGGCTGAGCAGAGAGCAGAATATCAAAAAGAACTAGAGTTCTTGTCGAAACCCGAAGATAAAAGCGTGCCACTTCTTGTGAGAGACTTGAACTTGTTCAAGGATGTCCAAGGGTAATTAGATCGAAAGGTAGACTTCGTCGATGCGCGCACCTGCCGTATGATGTCATAAACCCCGTTTTGCTTTCTAGAAACGGCAACCTCACTTATTTAATAATTCGTAAATGTCACGAAAAATGCAAACACATGGGCATCAGCTCGACCTTGAACACGCTTCGCAATCAGGGCTTCTGGTTGCCGAGAGCGCGAACTAAAATTAAACATATACTTAAATAATGCGTCTTATGCTCGAAATTCAACTCATGCGCCTTCAGATATCCAAAGCTAACTGATTTTCATAAAGATAAGGTAAATTTGCTTCGACCATTCGAAAATGTTTGAGTCGACTTCACCGGACATTTTTTCATAAAGTTTGGGGAGACCACTGTAAAGATGTATCTGTTAATTTTCACCTGCCTTAACGTCAGAGCTATTCATCTCGAGATTGTGCCCGACATGTCAACAGTTTCATTTCTTGCAGCTTTTGTTCGCTTCACCGGGGTTGTGATGGGTGGTGATGGGTGATGTGGTGCTGGGGCACGGGTGATGTGGTGACTGATTTGTCCTGATTTGATTTTGCTCTAATTGAAACCTGCTCTACTCTCAGATTCCGGAGATTATCGTAATATCCCCAGAAGAAGATAGACAGGAGGAGGCGCAGGTGGGGGAGGAGGCGCCGGTGGAGGAGGAGGCGCCGGTGGAGAAGAAGAGGAGGGCGCCGAAGCGCCTCCAGCTCCCGGGTGGCCAGGGTGATGGTGTAATACGGAAGTCACCACGCGGCCACCCGGAGAGCCAGGAGGCTCATAAAGAATTTTTTATATGTGACCCATGCGATTTCAGAACGCAAATTAAATGCAATTATGATTTGCACATGCAAATTCATCATTAAGTAACTTATATATAAATAGTTACTAAATTTAATTTTTCATATCAAATAAAGAATTTTTTATACTTTTTACTGTTACGCCCCCTCTTCTTTCTCCTCCTCCTCCCCATCCTCCAGCTCTCCATACAAACGAGCGTAAGTTGAGGAATTTTCGTTTCAATTTTCTTCTGATCTTGTCGAGTCATTTAATAATTTTTTATATCTTGTGCCTCGCAACCTTTCGTGTGGTGACTGGTGGGTGGTTAAAGCCTCTACTGCTTATAAAGATTTAATTTGATGTCATTCGGTCAGCTGAGTAAGGTAAGTTATTACCTCTCATACCTCCCCGTGCGCAGGCAGGTCACCACGGCGTAAGTATCCACATGGAAGTATGAGGAAGACACAATAGTCGAATGGCCATCCCTCACCTGGCCATCCCTCACCTGGCCATCCCTCACCGCTCATACATCCCTCTTCATATCCTGGCCACCGCACGAACTGGAACTTGCTGAACTGCTATAATTCTCTACTTCGGGGCAGGTCTTATGACAATTACTCTACCTTTCCCTTTCACTTGTATTTTGGCATCTCAATGTCAAGCCTGTCGGTGAGATTTATTGGTTTCGTTGAAATACTTGGTTTCGATAATTCTCTGATAATCCTCCCTATAGATCCGTTGCTTGAAACTGTCATTTTGTGTTGTATTTTTAGGCGGGTCAGGCTGCGGCCCAGGCCGCGTCAGTCGCGGCAGCCACGGCAGCAATGCAGCAGGAGCAGGTGAGGTGGTGGTGGTGGTGGAGTTTACGTCACGCCTCACCACCACCAGTTGGTGGTGGTGAGTAGTTTGCGTGTTGTAGCCAGCAACTTCTACTAGGCGGACGCGTAGAAGTGACACGTCCGTTTGCCAGGCCAAGCCGGATCTTTATGATACACATGATGGCTAAGATGCATTTATTTTTGGATAATGCACTGTGTAATTTACGTCGGTGAATGCATGCATATTGTATATACTTGAATTATCCTATATAGATGTAATGCTATGAATTTCCTGACTCACAGAACAGCAAAGTCCCGTGCCGTATCGCAAGTCGAAGTTTAATAACACACCGTTGCAGCCGGCACTGGGAGGAAACTCTAAGACAGTGATGATGGTCAACGTACGTCAACGAGTATGCACACTGGCAAGGAAGGCTTAATACGAAATAAACATCACTTAAATTGTCTTCGTTCTATTCTTTATCCTTGAAATGTGAAAGGTCGGAGTAAGATTTTTCTAGATTATACGAGTAATCCATTCAGCATCGGGTTGAGCGCTGAAGTTTTTTCAAGTATATTTATCTAATGGCTGTTAAGCTACCTGGAACCTCACTTTATGTGGAGCATTGTAGATGCCAGCGAGATCGCTTCTTCCCAATACTGAATTAGCCAGCTGGTGGAAATGTCTATGACCGCGACACGTCGGAAATCTATTAAAGAATGCCCGCGATGTCGTTGCTACAACTTCTCGTAAATGAGGTCCCGCCATTGTAGACTACACACAATTACTTAGTCACTCTACAATACGAGCTGCTTTCGATGCACATTTAGCTGAACTACGTGCGCACGATTTGCGCGACAAGCTCAGTAAGCAAAAAGGTTCAAATTATTCCTGCGGGCTGTTGCGATGGTGCACGATGGTACCGTCGACATCTTCACCGAAATAAGGCATATTTCAAACATTGAAACGGATGCAATCGCCAGATTATACGATTAGAAGTTTCCGAATCTACACTGTCCTAAAACCTTTGGAATATACATATTATAATTTTTTATATGACTATAGCCTACGCCTAGGACTAAGACGTCCTAATAATTGAAGGGGACGGGATCTATTATACACCAACGGATCAGTTAATTCGATGTTTGCAATCGCAAAGATGCTCGGTGACTTGTAGCGTCTATAGATGACGCTACGACGTGGTTACTATAGATGACGACTATCTATCTCTACTGGTTAGCTGTGCTGTCGAGTGTGCTAGAAAGATGAAATTTCTCCTTAATCTTCCAATTCATGTTAGAAGAAACGTGGAAGGTTGACCACGTCGAAATAAAATTTAATATTCGCATAAGAATTTACTATTTGATTTCGAATTTAATTTAAGGAAATGCGGATTGTGACTGGCGAAATTCTCACCAAATATACTTAACTTACGACCAAGATCATTTTTCGACCAAGATCATGAGCAGGTTTTCCACGAATAAGTTAGTCAAATCGTAACCGGTCGGAACCAAACTAAAAATGGATATATTTGTTGGAATTAAGTTCATGCCAGCATCGATACATTTTTTGTCCACTTCGAGCTTGCGGTCCTACATTTATGGAGGCAAACAGCGAAACTAACTCGTAGTGTTGTCGTATGCTTCTCAAGATGCCTTGTTCCTCCACTGGAGGGTAGAACCTCGCTCGTGCAAATGAGAACTACATAAAAACTGGATGTGGACTTCATGATTTGGAGGTAAGCAGGAGGACAAAAATTGTCCTGCGTTCATGATGTGGAGGTACGCAGGGGAAGTTATGGGAGCGGGGGATGAAAAAGGCAGGTTCTTCTTCCACGCAATCGTTTTACAATGACCTACAAGAACTTCTTTGTTCTCCCTTCTCTGCACGTTGAATGGAACTGTGGCATTATCCTTTGTGAAAAAACCGTAATTCAATTAAGAACTGAAAATGAAGGACAAGTATCTCTGCTGCATATTATTTCAGAATAACTTATTATATATAATTAGCTGATAATTACATTAGAGGCTGAGGATTACATTAGACTGCTGTGGCGTGAGGTGCTTTCAACATTTTAGGCAACCCCAAAACACCATTCCTCAGCATCGCAGAGCATTACTGCGTTAATGCGGGGGCTAACTTTAAAAAGCATAATAAATGTCATGCACTGCATGAATACAAAATGTCGTTTCATATATTGAAGAAAGTTCAGAAAATAACGTACATCACTAAAATATAAAGGGTCAACATTTTTTTATCCAGAGACAGAGAGGAACTCTGTATCAGAGGAGTGCGCAAGAGGAACTTACTTTTTTTGCAAAGTGGTGAATATAAACTAAACTATTGCATACGTCGGTATGCTTATAACTGTTGGGTTGCAAGGCTGATGTCAGTAGATGATGTAAAAATTATTCTTCATGTCGCAACGAGTCTAAATTCTAACCAAGAAAATATACATATATATGTAAGAACTATAGGAAGAAGACCTCAAAAAATCAACTGCAGTTCGTGACAAATTTCTATCATGGCAAAAATAGTGGGATTCTTAATTGTTTGGTTTTAGTAAAATGGTGGAAGTGAGCTCAAGTATTCAAAAACGCTCAAATTTTAAAATCACTTGCAGCAAAAAAGGGCGAATTTTACACACAAAACATGTTCAAAAAGTGACCCGCAAAATTAATTCCTTTACATTATCACGTTTCACTGAATTCAAAAAATCAATCTGTGAACCGTGTCACTCGGCTTGCTAACTCCTACATCACGATCGTGCTTTTCGGCCTCTCGGTGAAGGGAGCCTCTGCGAAGCAGTTTCACATCGAATCATCTATAAATGTACAATGGAGGTGACTGTGATAGAGAAGCATACTTGAAAATAGATGAACGGAGGCTCACGGGACGAGAGAATAATTCAATTTAGTCATCTTGGCAATCATTGTACATAGAAACGAGCCAATATTAGCATAAATGTTCAACAATCAGAAGCAGTCATATCGACGTTACAAGCTGAGCGGTACTCTGTGAGTCACGAGAACTATCGACGTTGATTCATCCATAATTATTATGGATAATAATATTACATATAATTTACCTATTATGAGAAATTGAAAAAAGTGGCCGAGTTGTCTTTTTAAATGTTCAATTTTGTTAATTAAGCCAATTTAATGATATTTGAAAACAATTCAATAACATTTCCCAAATTCCTAACCTTGAAATTCTATTTCATCAAAATTTTAGCGTTGTTTCTGGTTAGCTGCATCGACTTTTATCTCGGCTACAAAGAACACACATACTGTACAATAAATAACGTAAAATGACATTCTGATGAGTCGAATACTGTAAAAAATTTTCAATATTTTCAAGCAATTGCAGCTAGAAAAAACACAACTATTTGTAAATCCTGGAGCAAAAATCAGTGGCCTCTGACAGGAAAATAAATGTTCAAAAATTGATCTTATTTCATGTCTGCAGCTTCCCTCATTTCAAAATTAAATTATCAAAATTAAGCTTGGGTTGTGTTATCTAATTAATAGTACGAAATATGGCACATGTACCATATATGAAGATGGTAGGATCAGCATCGCTCCAGTGTCCGCGGTGTCATTCACCTGAATTGAAATCTGCTTTATTTGCACTTCAGGCGTGATTACATCCATCGCTTTATTTAATAATACCTGATAACCCTTTCAATAGGTTGAGGACAAATTTCCTTTGAGAAACATTAATATTGTTTAAGTTCTTTGGGAAGGTAGGAAATTTTGGAATGAATTTGTTGACAGTGTGAAGTGAATGACAAAATTTCCAAAGCACCCACAATAATTTTCTGTTATATGGCTAGGAAAAAAACGTTTTGAGGAATAACTGAATTACCTTCCCATGGTGCAAGCGAACATGACATATTATCGAAAAAACTATTTCTATTATTTTTCCGTATTAAAAATATATCTTCATGCAGAAAAAATGTTTGACAACCATAATAGCAGTTGTACAACTTAGGCTTTTTGGAAAAAATTCTTAAACCGAATTATTGCTTAATCGCTCTTGACTTTTTGACCCTTGAATGGAAGGGTTCAATTTATTTTTATGATTTCCATAATATTTCATATATTCGCGCCAATACCTTGCGCAAGTATTAAGAAGGAGCCTCCACTACATATTTAATAAAGTTTAACATAAAACACCGAGTAGAACATTCGAACGTTTCACATTCATGAAGGTTTTGATCTACATTTTGGATGAGTTTCATCCATTTTTCTTTGATGACTTTCCCGTTATTTTATATTATGTACGTACGAGGTAGCTAGTATAGTTGTAAGAAGCAAAACAGAAGGAGCATGAGTCATCGCTCATATATATAATATCGTCATAAGATACTCTGAGGGTTATTCGGTATATATCACGGCTCTCGCTTCACTCTTGGCTCAAGAATATTGTCACTGATCTATGCAGGTTATATGTAAGTGAGGAATAAGATAACTACGGAAAATAGTTGAAAAACGACTAATAAATGCAGCAGAAGCCTAAGTATGATCTGGGAAAATCGTATCGAATATTCCTGCCTAAGAAAAAATTAATACAAAAATTTATTGCACCATGTCTATGAGAATTTATGAAGAATATATGATATGAGTAATTAAAATGAAATTAATAAAAGTCCAAGAATAAATCCGAGATGATGCATAGAGAGCCGGTGCGAAATGAATGAAATTATATGAGTATTGAAAGGACTCCCTGTTGAAAATTTTCGGTAATAGTTAATTCGTTCATATTATCTGTAAAATGTCTGTAAGGTTTGTTGAAAATGAGGTAGAAGTGCACGATAAACCAAGTGATGCTTGAATGAGTCCAGGGTCTGAGCAAAAGTCAAACCGAAGTACAGCAAACTCTACCTGAATTGAAATCTGCTTTATTTGCACTTCAGATGTGATTACATCCATCGCTTTATTTAATAATGCCTGATAACCCTTTCAATAGGTTGAAGACAAATTTCCTTTGAGAAACATTATTATTGTTTATGTTCTTTGGGAAGGTAGGAAATTTTGGAATGAATTTGTTGACAGTGTGAAGTGAATGACAAAATTTCCAAAGCACCCACAATAATTTTCTGTTATATGGCTAGGAAAAAACGTTTTGAGGAATAACTGAATTACCTTCCCATGGTGCAAGCGAACATGACATATTATCGAAAAAACTATTTCGTGAAGTCATGTTTAAGCCAAGAAGTGCTCAAGTTACACTAAGGCTGGCAGTCAACCTGATAAGAGGAAAACCGTTTTACGCAAAGTCGAAGTCTTTTGCGGAGCTAGCATTAGTTCATCACTTTCCTCTTATCGCTATAAGCCTATAAGTTATAACTATAATTGAAGACCCAAAAATTCTCCAGTTTGCTGAACTCATATTATTAGTTTATTGCAAATCCTCAGAGGGCGCCCAGAGAATTTCAAT